AGGGAGAAAGAAGAGGTGTGTACCTCTTGGGCATTCAGAAGTAGTTTAAAAAAAAAGTGTGGTCAAAGGCCTTTTTTATCCATTATCTAATGAGGTGAAAGCCTAGGGCATCATGCTTAAAAAGCAGTCGTCTTCTTCCTAGCGTTTCCCACAGGTGCAGGGTCCGCTTTTCAGATGAATAAAAGCCATTTCATGCAATTGAACACAGCAATCATATGCAACTGGGTGAATTTCATGTCTGTGTCAATTGTGTCCTGCCACCTTTGGTTTGGTCTTCCACATGGGCATTTGCCATCAGTGTTAAAGTGGTAGGCAGTGCAAGTGATGGTGTGGGATGCTGCTCGTAGGATGTGGCCATATCACTATAGGCATTTTTCCCGCATTTTCTGTTATTGGTGCAATACCCATCTGCTGCCGGACTGTATTGTTGCTGATGTGGTCGAGAAGGAAGATGCCTAATGATCAATGGTGCATATGTATCTCCATGGCATGTAGGGGGTGTTCAGCACTTTTGGTGGTTGGCCACTGTTTAGCACCATACAGTGCTACTGGGCAAACCATTATTCTGTACACTTTCGATTTTAAGTGAACAGGCATGTGCTTGTCACAATGGACTTAGAAAACAGTACTGGATCTAAAACTACCAATACTATACATTTCCACAGGGCTTATCTTACTACAAGATAAACAACAGAGACATTGTAGCATTTAAAGATTAACAATTTTGTGATGGCGCTAGTTTTTATGAACTTCACTTTATCTGATATTCCAAGTTTTATCCTTAGCAAAGAGTTGGTGTCTGTGTGTGTTGTTTGTGGGATAGTAAACAAGATTAAGAAAAATGAAGTACAAGAAATCTAAATAGTGATGATTACCCACTGGGTAGTGGTCTTTGATCTCACTTTTTACAATGCATGTGCATTCAGTGAAGTAAACTGTAGTCTCTGAACACTTATTCTTTAATACATTTGTTAGTCTTAAAGGTTCCACAAAATTCCATTTGTTTTGATGGCTACTCTTTTGGTAACTCAATGAAGAATACTGCACACAGCATACTTCCACATATTTTGTATTTTTTTTACAGGCAAAACTGAATTACAAGAAGCTCAAGTAAATACTATTCCACTACATATCTGTAATAAATATGAATTGTATGAAGAAAGATTATCAATTAATATGATTTGTGCTGTCTCTCTAAATAATAGCTGTGAGGTAAAAATAATTTATTTTTATAAATTATAAGTGTATAATATATAGAGTTGTTTGGGAGTTGAGTGGTGCTTAAATTGAATAAGTAATAAGTAAATAAATTAACTTAATTTGCAAATCCATACGTCATGCTGAACTTTTTTAATGAGTATCTCAAAGTAATTAGCTTTTTTCCAAATTATCATGTGCAATATTTATTAAAACAAAACAATAGAAAATATAGGATTATGTTTTTAGGTTTACAATCTCAAGAAATGGGGAGTAAGTTGAAGGAATAGTGAAAATTTTATTTCTAATGCAGATCTGAAAATAACGTAAATAACATTAAACCATGATTACTGAAATTAAGGCTGTTATTTTTAAATATTCACATCATTAAATCTAGCATTAGTTCAGAAGCGGGGATACACCATAAAATTAACAGAACTTTACAGAACAATATGCTGATTTATTTCCATTCAGATTGTTTGGGCCACTCAGTTTTCATCCAAAGCAATCAAGGTGATATAAAACCTGCGTAGGAACTTTTAGATTGATTTTGGAGATAAACTTATTGAGTCAGTAACTAATATTCCCAGAACATCAAATTTTTAAGTATTATACTGCAGGTACACTGTAATACAACTAATGCAAGATTACCTAATTCAGACTTTGCAGATATATCCACATTTCTTTTTTTTTAATCTAATTTTTATTGAAAAACTTGATTATAATAGTAAAAACTAATACAAACTAAGCTTAAAGAAAGAATAAAAAGTGCAAGAAAAAAAAGAAGAAAAAGAAAAGTGAGAATATAATAAAGAGAAAAGAAATATATAAAGAAGTTACTTCCAACTTTCATAACAACTACAAACAAATTTAGTGGCTCTCTGCCTCCTATAAGGTTACAAACAAATATTTCTTCGTCCCATATTTCATCCCTTATCTATAGACAAATCCATAAAGCATCAACTTTACAGTCCAGACATCAGCAAAAAGGCCATAAAGGATTGCCAGCTTTGTAACAATATATCTTATTTTAACCTTTATCCAATAAAACAACTTTATATTCCTTCCTTTTACTTCTAACAGTTTTAATCTTTAGTTCATTCAAATACTGTAGGATTTGATTGCTCTCCAATTCTTCTTTGTCCCATCACACAAATTTCTTCAAGGCTTTAACAAGCCTCTTTTGTAAATCCAGTAAGAAAAAATCATCCAGGTCACTCTCTTGGTTTGTCATTTGTATTTCCCTTTTGATCTTTAAAACATCAGCCAGTTTCTTTTGTATATCCAGGAAATTATCCTTTTCCAAGTTATTCTTTTGGTCTTTCATTTATAAATCCACTTTCAGTATCATCTCTATCTTGATGACAAAATTTGATCCACATCTGTCATTTCTTCAAAAATATCTTTTGAACATTATCTATATCATGACACTGATGATATTGTGGCAGCTAATTTCTGGCTCCATTCTTCAAAAGCATCCTTTAATATTTTCAGTGTTACAAAGTTTTGCATAATTTTTTAAGACCCAGTAAATAAAAGCAGGCTTGTATTTTTTTTCCCCTCTACTTAGGAACTTTAGTCCTCACTAGTGTCCAGTTTCTAAAATCGTAAAATTTCTTATCTTTGTTATGCCTTGCAGTAACCAAAACAAATCTGTTTCCCATAGGAACTGTTTATTCTTTATACTTAATTCCAAAATCTTATAGTAAAAGTTCCAATATTCTAAATTTAACTGGACCTTTAATCTGATTATAACTTTCTAAGATCAAAGTCTTATTTAGCTTTCAAATTTATTTCAAATTCTTAAACTTATGATTAAAAATTTCTTTCGTTCAGACTGAAGGTAAACTCAAATGGTGTTTTCAACCTTGTCGTTCCAAAAGTCTCTAATAGCTTAGTAGTAGTTAATTAGCAATTTCCAAAAGTGATTAGAAAGTGAGGTTGGTGAACTTTGTTATTTTATAACAGCTCTATACTGTTTTTAAGCTTTTATAACAGTTTTATGGTCTGCTATGAATATGTAATATATCAAGAAAATTGTATTGATGTTTCTAAAATTAATTAAATAATTGAATTCTTTAAAAACATATTTTGTTAGCTAAAGGCCTGGTGAATAGCACTTTATCTGAGCCAAGCAGAAAAGTCCTATACTTCAGAATTTCAGAATACCATGAATATTTGATTTTTTCAATATTTTTCATATTCCAGGCAGACAGCGGTGGACCTTTGATGTGCTATTTCCCAAGTGTATCCAAATACTATTTGATAGGCATCACCAGTTTTGCCAGTGGCTGTAATCAACATAATTATCCAGGACTCTATATTCGTACAATTAGCTATAGAAAATGGATAGATTTACATCTTCATGATGAAACTGCAACAGTGAACATCCAAAGTATCCTAGTTCTTTTAATGATGGAATGGGTAACCTTTCACCTTCTATAAATAGAAGTGTTCTTAGATGGATTATATAACATTTCTGTTAGGTTATTTAAACAATATCCACTAATAGATTTTGTAATCTATGGCTTTACTACCCCAACTGCACTTAAAAATATATTTCATCTGTAATTTTAACTATCAGGTCATATTATTAAATATTTCCATATCATTTCTCATTGTATCAAATGCCTGTTGTGTGGTATAAATTAGCTGATGTTTTCTTTTAGCACATGGAAAGGGGAAACCAAACACTAAACTGAAACTTGGTACGATACATGAATTTTTGGTGCAAGATTATAACAAGGCTACCATAATATAATAGCTTGGTCTATCTTCAAATTCCTCTAGTAGGAGTAGCCTCTAAAAAAGGTTCAGAATGCTTTTGTCATAGAAATTGGGGAAAGTCTTTTTCCCCCTTACTTTCTAACTCCAGATACTGCCACCTTGTTGCGGCAAAGGATTTGAAAGAAGGAATCATAGGATATTGCACAGATAATTTCCTCCCAGCATAGAACAATACAATATAAAAAGTTTTTTAAAAGTCTGTAGAACTGTCTGCAGAAGGATAGAGAAATTAACTCAAGGACAACCAATGGTCCCATGTTGTGAGGTATTCTGGCTCCCTTAAGCATTTTTGTCTAAACTGCATATAATATCTTAATCCATTTTATAAATTTCAACAAAATTCCAAACCTATTTAATACAGCAAATATATACTGTCTATATATTTTATCAAAAGCTTTTTCTGCATCTAAAGATGGAATGACAAATTGATCTTCATTTTTATTCAAATCTCTTAAATCCAGATCTAAAGTAAAGGTTAATAGTATTCTTTCTGCTACTTTCCCATTATTTAGAGGCACTAGACAAGGATGTCCACTTTCACCCTTGCTTTTCAATATCTGCGTGGAACCCTTGGCTTGTGCTGTTAGACAACATCGGGAAATTTATGAAGTAGTACCTAATTCAGTTGAACACAAATTGGTTTTATTTGCAGATGATATTCTTTTGTTTATTACTAAACCTATTGATGCAAATGATAGATACCTTTAGTAAAATAGCAGGATATTCTATTAATTGGTCCAAATCGGAATTGATGCTAATAGGTAAAAATTTAGTTACTCATCCATTTAAGAAATATCAATTTTGTATTTGTATCAAATTTATTAAATATTTAGGTATGTGCATACCAAAGGATATAACTCAGTAACATCTAATATAAATAAAATATGCAAAGAGGTTTCTTTAGACATGGATAGATGGAAGTCATTAAACCTCATCCTTTGGGAAAAGGTGAATGCTCTCAAAATGAATATTATTTCCAGATTAATGTATATTCTGAGAGGACTTCCTATTCAAATATCTGGAAAATATTTTCAGAAAATAAATTCTTTGTTTAGAAAAATTTTATGGGGTTCTTCGATTCCGAGAATATCTTTACAGAAAATGCAATTACTAATCAATGAAGGAGGATTTGGTTTTCTGAATCTGGAGCTATATCATCAGACTTACCTATTGTCAAGTATTAAATACTGGAAGCCAACAAGTGGTGTTAATTTTCCAATTTGGGCAACTTTGGAACATACATATATAACACCTTTGGTTGAATCAATGGTATTAGGATCTAAATACAACACAACTCTAATATCTCTGGAAACAACTTCGTCAATTAGAAAGCTTCGTCAATTAGAAATGTGCTGCCTAATAAAAAAATACTTGACCCTTTTTCCCATGCCAAATTGACTTTATGGGGAAACCCAACTTTAAAAATTGGGAAAAAGATGATGATATGGAAAAGTTGAATGGAAGCGGGGATATTGGCATTGGACCAACTGATAGATGATGAAGATGATTTTTTAACGTATGATGTGTTAAGAGATAAATATCATCTATCAGATGTTACCAGTGGCAATATTTACAGCTACAACATTTATTAACAACGTTGTTTGGACCAGCAGCATTTTCAGCTTCCGAGACACCTGAGGTACTAGAATAACTTGTTAAATCCTTTAGAACTAAAAAAC